TCTATTTACATATCTTATTTTTCTGAAATATACCATGATTTACCATATTGGCTCTGGCACAAATGCAGAATTGTATATAAAAACTGCCGCTTATTTTTCATGTCACAGAAATAAATTCCATTTATGAATTCTTCATCCAAATTGAGGTCCTACGTCTCCTTCCTCCTGTTTAGTCTATGACAGTTAAAACAAGTTGATTTATTATTTATAAGTTAAACTAAAGCTCTAAAAATAACACCTTTACTTTCCATCATCATTAAATAAGAACAACTGGAAACCACTTATTTTGGGCCACCTAGCCCTTGCATGCTATGACAAATGTCACCTGACTTGCTTTAAAAGCAGTGGTTTCCAAATCCCCTGGGGTCTTAGCAACATGGCGTTAGGACAAGCAGGAGTCTGACCTGGTTCTTGGCTCGCCAGCCCTTCTTTCAGCCAGAGCAGCTCAGAGCTCTGGTTTTATCTGTCTCATTTGTGTATGTTACCAGGTGTTTGTTTCAAAAAGACATCCCCATGGCCTCTCCACCCCCAGCTTCTTTTTCTAGGAGTTAATATCATGTGCATAGCCTTCCCCACCTAAACAGTTCAATCCTAAAGCCATTAAGTGGGCCAGAGCAAGACACAACTCTGTGCACGGAGGTTTAGAACCGCAGGTAGGGGTGGGAGTGCTGCTGGGGAGGCTAGGCAGCCTGGTGCAGTGAGTCAGGGCCCAGAGAGGACAAGGTGTCCACAGGGGTTAGTGGCCTGACATGTCTAGTTGGAATCCGGGCAGTGAGGGGAGGGCATGCTCCCACATAGGCAGCTAGGCTCACAGTTCTATATCCCACACACAAGTGAGGAGGGCATCCAACAGGGGTAAGGCTCAGGGCCTGGTGCCAAAGCTCAAGCAGTGTGAGGAGAGCGCTCAGGTGCAGGGGCAACTCTGAGGAGAGCCAGAGACCAAGCAGGGGAGTGTCCTTGTGTGAGGCGGGCCCAGGGTGGGATGCCAGAGGGCATCCCCACAGAGGTGGTCCATTGTTGAACACTGGAGCCCAAGTGAGGCACGGAGGGTGCCCATATGTGAGGGAGCCCAGAATGAGGTGCTGAAGACCAAATAGGATGAGGACATACCAGAAAAAGGCCCAGCATGGAGACTCAGGGTCTAAGTGAGCACCCGTACCAGGATTAGCCTGGTTTGAAGTGTCAGAGCCTATAATGTTGTTAGAATTGGAGGTATCACTATGAAGTCATGGATTTCAACATATAGATGTGAAGTCTGAATAAGAATGTGTATGTACATATGTACATACATATGTTCCCTAGATGTGTCTGCTGACAGGGCCTAAGCATGGTACTTTCCCCAAAGCAACAAGCAACACCTAATGCCCAGATCTTTGATTCTAAGTACCGTTCTCCACTAAAGAAATCAGGGCTCTTTGGAAAAATGGCTAATTCTTGGGTTGCAGCAGGGAAAGTTCAAGATGAATCCAGAAAATCCTGTCATAGCAAAGAAGTAGCAACTAAAGATGTCAAAAGGCCACAGAAGTCAGCTTGCCAAAGGCAAAAATTAGGGACAATTTGAACACCAAAGTAAGTTATGATAATAACAGGTAATGAAGTACAATACCTGGACCAGCAGCAACAGCACCACCTGGAAACTTGTTAGAAATACAGATTCTTGTGTCCCAGCCCAGTGCTACAGGACTGGGAACTCTGGAGACGAGCCCTCCAAGGGATGCTCATGCACACTCACGTGCGAGAAACACTGAACCAGAAAACCATGAGTCCATAAAAGAAACAAATAACAGTTTGATAAGGATTAAGATACCTACATGGTCTCCAAAGGACTACCACACAAAGTAACTTTACAATGAGAAGCGGTCTGGCACACACCACATTAATCAAGTGATCAGTTAACATAAGTAATAGTACAAATTGAAATGGAGCACCACCTGATGTGATAAAACATCGTAACTTCTGTGATATTTGGGCTGCATATATGCATAACCTGAATTTTTATCTATTTTTTTTAAAGATTTGATTTACTTATTTTTAGACAGAGAAGGGAGAGAAACATCAACGTGTGGTTCCCTCTCACACGCCCCCTACTGGGGAGCTGGTCCATGACCCAGGCATGTACCCTGACTGGGAATTGAACTGGTGACCCTTTGGTTCCCAGGCCCGTGCTCAATCCACTGAGCCACACCAACCAGGGCTCATAACCTAAATTTAATAAGGAAACATCATACCATTATTGAGGGCCATTCTACCAAATCACTGGTAGAATGTGTCTTTAAAAATATCAAGATCATGAAAATTAAGGAAAGAACGAGTTGCTGTTCCAACTCTTTCCAATAGTAGTAGACATTAAAAGTGCTCAATAAATATTATGGAACAAAAAGTCTACCTTAAGTAGCTCTGGAATTTTGCCTTGTCATTAGAATAGTCCATCTAAACTTAAAACTTTACCCTATTATTTTGTAATAAATGATCTTAAGTCAGAATAGTTTGAGTCACTCTTCCTGATAGTAATTGGACTACGAAGCCAAGTTATATTAAGGCAGCTCTCAAAAACAATAAACTGTGTGTTCAGCATAGAGCAGAATGTTTGTTTTCTGAGCATGCCTGCTGTACAACCAAAAGTATAGTTTTATCCTACTGACTTGAAAAAAGGCTGATGTGAACACACTGCTATTTTACTTGACTGGAAATCCACTAATGAATTGTCTAATTCATTAGGAAATAGTCCCATATTCTAATTCTGGAGGTAATATTAAGAAACTGTTCTGTATAATCAATAACCAAGAGTCCTCCTCTGACTCAGAAGAAAACATAAGAGTAAATCTTGGTGATTTTGAGTTAGGCAATAAGTTTTCTTAGACATAACAACAAAAGAAAATAACTGATAAACTAGACTTCATCAAAATTAAACCTTTGTGGTTCAGACAATGCCATCAAGAAAGTGAAAAGATAATTCATAAAATGGAAGGAAATACTTATAAATCACGTATGTGATGAATGTCTTGTATCCAGGCTATATAAAGAACTCTTACAATTCAATGACAAAAAACAAATAACCTCATTTAAAAGTGCACAAAGGATCATAGTAGACATTCCAAAGACATGCAAAAAACCAATAAGCACTTGAAATTATTAGTATCATTAGCCATTAGGAAAATACAAATCAAAAAAAAGATGCTTCACGTCATAACTAAAAACAGTTTAGTGTTGCAAAAGATGTGAAGTTGGAACCCTCCTTCCTACACTGCTCGTAGAAAAGTATGATGGTGCAGCCATTTTGGAAAAGCTTGGAAGTTCCCCAAAAGGTTAAGCATAGAGATAACATATACCTGGCAATTCCACTCCTAGGTATATGCTCGAGAATGAAAACACATCCACACAAAAGTTGTACACAAATGTTCATAACAACATTATTCATAATAGTCAAGAAGTAGAAACAACCCAAATACCAACTGGTGAATAAAATATAGAGCATACAGTAGAATATTGGCAATAAAAAGTAGTTCTCACACATGCTACATGAATGAATTTTAAACACATACTAAGTGAAAAAAGCCAGAAACCAAAGACCACATGATGCATGATTTCCTTTGTGTAATGTCCAGATAAGGTATCTCTACAGAGACAGAAAGAAGAGTAGTGGTGGCCTAGATAGTGGGGACTGGGGAGTGGACTGCTAATGGACGAAAGGTTTCTTTCAGGGTGATGAAAATGTTCTGGAAACAGTAGTGATGGTTGTAGGGAATATACTAAAAACCACTGAACTGGACACTTTATATAGGTGAGTTGTATGGTACATGAATTTTATCTCAAGAAAGCTGTTAAAAAATATTGAGTACAAAAGCATATGGTACCTCTAAACATTAAGCTGACAAGAGCATGACGACACAAAATCTGATTACAGTGGTACTTAATACTTTTTTCTTCATTGACTGTTAAGCTAATAACATCAAAGCTTTACACAACCATTTTAACTAATTTGAATAATTAAATACAATGATTTGGATGAAGTTAAGATAGTGTTAGCAATATTATCACTAATTTTCTCTACCTTTCTATTCTTGATAAATTAAACTGATACAATGACCAAGTCAAGCAATTCTACTGTTGCCAATTTTGTGTTTGCCTACTGTTAAATTTAGAGAGGACACAAAGAGAAATAATGTTGGCTATCTGGTTCAAATTCTGGTTTCTAATGCTGAAATTTGGTATATAAATGTCACATGACTCTAATATAATTTAGCTCTTAAAGACAGACCTCAAAAATAGTTTCATGTATTTTCATCCTGGACATCACTAGTAAATTTCATTCATCTTTTAAAATGTATAGCAATCTAATACATGTGAACATGTTGGTAACTGCTACTACACTGTTTAAAACTACATCTATTTGACAACAAAATTACCATATCCGGGTAAAGGAGATTACAACCCAAATACTGGACCCTTCATGAATCATTAAGGTACACAATTTAATACTACCTATTCCTAAGAATTTCAACATAAAGATGATATAAACAAACGACTTTTTAACTATGGCCATTTTATGTACTAGACCCAAAAGCATTAAGTTCCTGTTCTTAAGATATACTCGACTGAATGCTTTTCCTTGGCATTTACAAAACCTTGCTTCTTTTAAACTAGTGATTACCAATTTGGATAAAGTACTGGAGGTCCAGTATAGTCCATGTAAATTTCATTCAGGAGAAAAGCCATGACAAATTGGCATCAAAATTATTTCAGATATACATAAGATTTATAAAAACTTTAAAAATTACAGGAAAAAAATGTGGAAGAAAACATATCTTGGATTGCATCTGCCTGTAAACTCTATAAAAGGGAGGGAATTTTTGTTCACCACCCTACTCCAAGGGCCTAGAATGATGCCTGGCACAGTGAAGGCACTCACAGCTGTTAAATGAAGCAGAAGATGCACAGCATTTCCATTACCTTAGTAAAGGGGAAAAAACTTCAAGTCACAATATGCACAGAACAGAACGTAAGTTGTAAAGTATTTTTTATTGTAAAAAAGGGTCAAGAGGTTGACAATGCAAATGTTACCGCTGAACATTTCCCCTTGGTTCCTGAATCTGCTAGGCTCCTATGTACCAGCAGGTCTCCATTAGCACTTCTCAGGTTTCATGGTCTATTCAGATATGTTGATTATCTCATATACTGCTTGGAAACAAAAGTCCATTTGATATTAAAACAAACAAACTTATTGTGCCTCTCTTTCACATTTCCTACAGGGAGATCTACATATCTCAAGATGCTGTCACAAATTAATAGTAAAGTTAGTGCCTTAAACAAACCAAAGAATCTTCTGTCACAAGTTACTGAATCAAATTTCTCATAACATATGCAATATATCCAGATTTATAGGTTTAAAAACAAAAGAATTTAGAATTTAATACAATCTTTAGGCTGATTTTTTCATATTTGAAAGACTGCAGTTATGTGCAGCACACAAAGGGAGAGAGTAGTGCAAGATGCATCAAGTTTTATATGATAAATATTCTTTCCACCTAATGGCTGCCTCAAAGCAGAGTGAAAAATTACTTCTCAAAAGCAATCTAGACTGACTCAATAAAGTTCACAATTTAGAAAGATCAATTTCTACTCTAGTTCCATATATTGCAAAATGATTTCAGAAACAGATTAAAAATACAATTGTTTTACAAAAATAGAAATATTGTTTGGGACTTTACAAAACTTTATAAAATATAACACTATATCTGTAAATTCAAGATAGTTTCACACTGAAATAGACAATACTTCCATAAAAGTCTAGTCAAACTTAAGTGGTCTGCCTTGATCATTCTTACATATTATTTCTTCCATATCTTGGCCTAAGTACATCTGTGCTCTATCATAGGATTTTAATCTATTTCCAGGACTTTATAGATTTTTCATTCTAGAAATAATGTTAAAGCAGATGAATTTATATCTATAAATGTCTTACTAAAAATAGAAAGTAATGCAATATGACAATTCTGTACTGGATAAATTTCAAACCAAAATGCTAAGAATGACCTCCTATTATTTTAAAATTTATATTTGACAATTATAATTTGGTAGCTATAAAACAAAAATATAATCATAACTATTTTATGGAAAAATATTTATTCACATAGAATGAAGAACCTCTAAATTTAGTTATTTGTAGCTATCAGATGACAAGTATCTTCTAATTACACCCATTCATAAATACTCATTTTATGACCCCAAAGAGCACCAGTGTATTCTTAAAACAAACTAAAAAATGAGACAGTAGGGGTTTATTTTGTGTAACAGTGCTATTACAATAAGGCACCACTTGGTATATGAAAAAGCCAAAGTATTTCCAAATCATGTATTTCTGTTACTGGTGTCTTAACCATTAGATAGAATGGTTAGGAAAAAGCTTGTAATATTATCAACTAACCACATTATATTCCTTTTTCCATCACTCTTTGCTTTTTGTTTTTCCATATAACATAACATATAATAAACACATGTAGTACATGACATGTTAAACACCTTTCCCCAATCTCCCAAGAAAATAATCTAAAATCAAACAAGAATAAGAAACCAAACATTTATCTGCTGTATTTGCAATAGGCTATGCCTGTAGAACAGTGGGGAGTTGGGGGGGATGGTGGTGGAGGAGTTGAGGGGAATGACAACAGGACCTATTTTCTATAGAATATATCGAGGCACATAGGTTAAAAGTTTCTCAGGCAAATTCATGGCTAGAGCAAAATTGAAAGAGCTCAGAATTTTACATTTCCTCCAAAGCTGACTTCTCCGAGAGTCACACTCAATTAAATATTTCAAAATATGTCCTTAGTCACTGCTATCATCATCATCATCATCATCAGACACATCATTTAAAGTAGACTTCAATGACTGACTGTAAGAGTCCGATCTAGTAGGCTGGCATGTGGCCATGTCCCCAGTAGAAAGCAGGTCATAGCAGAAGTCACAAATCCGCACAGGCTTAGAGGACTGGCTGGGAAGAAGAAATCTCTTTTCAGAGCAGGGCCCACAGACGACAAAACCACACTTGCGGCAATGGTGACGACGATTAACAGGTGTGAATTTTGCTTTCTGACATCGCATACATACAGTCGCCTCAGAGTCAGGAACCCAGACAGCAGCATGTTCATTACTGGGTGTCTTCCCACTTTTGGACAGTAAATCAGTAACACATTTATTTATGTGATTCATCCATTCTGATTTCTCAGTGGCAGTAGCAGCATAAACTGCAAATGACTTAGTTGGTGTCTTGATAAGCCACCCATTCCTCAAGTCTCCCTCATCTTTGATGGAATCAATAGTGACATTTTCCAGGGGAATAATATGTTGTTTGTTATATTTTTTCTTCTGGATGACAATATTGCCATATACAAGAATATCATTAAATAAGAAAAACTGCCTTGCTTTGGGCTTTTTTCTGCACAACTTAGTCAATACTCCTTCTCCAATAAGAACCCGTCCAGGTATAGTTAAGGGCTGGCCAGCTGTTCCAAAACAGTTTTCTACTATATTTATACGTCTAGTATTTGCTTCACTGTTTGCCAAGCGATCCACCATCTTTTGCTAATAGCCTTTAAAACAAAAAAAGAAAAAAGAAAAATTAGCACACAGAAGTTATAAATTCACGTGAGTTAAAAAATTACATAACTTAAATTTAGTGTAACAAATCGTTACGTTTACCCAAAAGGCAAAATGCTCTAAAATTATCTCACTCTAAGATAAGCACTAAGCGTACCAAAAGGGCTAACATCTCCCAAATTTTATAATCATCAAAAACACTTAATCATCTCCATATAGCATCATACCAGTCAGGCAGGTATTTATAAAAATATAAACTTCTTACAGACTTCAAGGAACAACAAACAATCAGACAACTGTAAGTCATCTCTGCAAAATAATAAATTCAGTTTCATGCAATTTAATCTCAGAGGGATTCTGAACAAGGTGGTCAAATATTACATAAACTAAGAGAAATGACTGATTTTTCCAGGAAAAATTACCATTGAGCTAAGGCCTTAATTATTATTGAGCTAAGGCTTTAATTCTCTCACACGGATTATCAGAACTATTTCCCAACAAGTACCTAACTCGGTCTTCAGGCTGTGCCCTGAAAGTTGTTCCTAAGAATTAACGTGATAATGCATGACTCCAAACTATGATGTCTTCTCTAATTAGGGCAAATCTGCCAGCCAATTACAGGTCTACTATCCTATGCACAAGTGCATCACAGAAGAGGAAATAAAAACAGCTAATAAACATGAAAAGAGGCTCAATTTCATTCATAATTGAAGAAAACATTGGGATATTTTTCACTTATCAGATTAACAAAAAAATTTTTTAATTTCCAAAACTGCAATACTACTGAGGGTATAAGGAAACAGGCACCCTCATATACTAGAAAATATGTGTACCCTTGATCTGGGTATTTAATCAAAAGAAATTTCACTCAGGAGTTTAAAGATATATACAAGGATATTCAACACAGTACTGTTTTAACAAACAAAAAACAAAAATTAGAAAGCTCCAAATGTCCATTGAGAGGTTGGTCGAACAATTTATGATATACCCTCAATAACATGCTAGATAGCTGTTAAGAATGAGATCAAAATATAGTGATATGAAGAAATGCTCAAGATATTTAGGTGGGGAAAGAACTGAACATCATGATCTCTTTTTTGTTTCAAACATACTCGTATACCAAATCTAAGGTGCTATAGATTTTAAGACACAACTTCATTTTATGTGATATCAAAAAAGAAAAATGCTGCCAATTCAATCATGGCATACCCTTGATTATATAACATCCCAATTTCAAACATAAAATATAGTGAAACAATGTTCATCTTTAGACTCAATAAAATATGGTATAAATGCATAAATATGTAAGCATGCATACAGAAAATAAAATTAGAAAACTATATCAACAACAATATCAATATCAACAATGATTACCTCTGAGAAGTACAATTGTGGATATTTTTTATACTTTATATTCTATTCAAACATTCAGGGGAAAAAAATGACAGAGGTAAGGTTAAGGTCCCTGCTCTTCCAAGGAAAAAGAGAAAACAAAATCTAGAATCAAGTATTAATTAATGTTGAGATTTTTACAATGATTTCTTAAAAATTAACTGGAAACTCTTAGATTGGATGGTCAGGAAAGGCCTTTCTAAAGTGGTATTATATTATTTTATTTTTAATCCTCACCTGAGGATATGTTTTACTGATTATAGAAAAGAAGGGAGGGAGGAAGAGGGGGAGGAAACCAAAAGAGATACATCAATAAGTTGCCTCCTGCAGGTACCCTACGTATGCACCCCTGACTGGGAATGGAAACCACAACCTTTTTGGTGTACAAGGCAACAATCCAACCAACTGAGCCACCCAACCAGGGCAAAAGTGGTATTATTTTAGCTGACATGGAAGAACTAGATACGTAGGCATGGGGAGTAGGGACAGGAAAATAGTCCAGGCAAAAGGAATAACTGCAGAAGTCCAAAGGCAGAAAAGAGGTTGGTTGGCACCTTTGAAGAACTGAAAGTATCTATTTATTCCCGTTACAATCAACTGCTGATTCTATTTACCTGGACATAGAGTTATCAATCATCTCATATGCAATGCAAATAGGCTTCCTATTATTATATTACTGGAATTAATATCACCACGAATTTATGTGGTACTTTTCACATTTACTACCTTCTGATTCTAATGGTCTCAATCTCTTGTGAAATATCTAATAATATTAACTGAAATGTGAGCTTGAGGAGAAACTAAGACACAGAAAGATTCCACAATGTAAAAGGTAAAACAGCCTAGGATTTACTCACTGGGAGCCAAAGCAAGCAGTTGAGTACTTTGCATTCATTATCATATTTCCTACTGGGGTAACTTACTGTAATTATGCTCTATTAGCTCCATTTTACAGATGAGTAAACAGAGGCAAAGGAGTTAAGCACCCTGCCCAAGGCTATCACAGAACTGAGACTCAAACCTGATTCCTCTGCTGTCACCAGTATATTACAGTATGATAATCATTCCTTAAAGCTCCACTGACTTTACAAAGAACTAAGAAAACTATTGCTAATCTCTGGACCTTCACTGCAAACCCTAAAAATACTGAAGAGAAAGATAACAGAATACTATATTGAGCAAACAGCCTGAAAAAACAGGGCGTCATAATTTATTTGGCCAGTCTCCTGATGTTTCATTTTTCAAATTTTGCAATATAATAAGCCTGACCCTGTTCACAGATCTTTAAGAATGATGCAACGTAAGTCTGGGGCATTTATTAATTGGTATTTGGCTAGAAAAAGCAGCTTTCAAAAGCTGACAATGACCAATATAAGAAATACATCCCACACTGCAAGGGGTTCTTTGATAAACTGGATTAGAGCACTACCCTTCAAGAGGGGCCTCTGCCATCCTCCAAAGCCCAAATCCAAATGTGCCACCAGTTCACTGAGGTGCCCCAAGCAGTAAGAACTCTTACAGACTTTTGTGCGAGTGTCAGAATACAAGATACCAGGTCTCGCCGAAAATGTAAGTCCTTTGCAAATCTGTACTCACTGGGACCCAAGGAAGAGCAAACAGTAGACAACTACAAAACATGGCCCAATAGGAGCTGTCTACTTTTCTGAGGAAGGAATATCAGTAAAAACAGGGAGAGCTAGGAAGAAAGCTTCCCCATCTGTTGGCAAAGATGACTTCTTCAGGACTGACTCCAAGAAGTAAAATTACTGGGTCAGAAGACATGAATGTTTAAGGCTTTTGCTACCTTTTACAGAAGTTCCATTCTGAAAGGTAACACCAATTTACCAAGCAGCACAATGACTGTACCCATCCTATTTTGTCTCACAGGGAGTACTGTATTTTTCTTTAAAAGTTTTAGCAATCAGGATTTAAAAAATGTTCTGTCATTTTATTCATTTCATTCACTTCTTTTTTACTCATTCTGTTCATTCATTTGACAATTACTTATTGAACACTTTCCAGATGCTAGGTATTATTCTTTTCCTTTCAGATTTTCGAGTCCAGTGTAGGAGAATGGCAGTAAAGTAAGTAAACAGGTGATTCTGAAAGGTTAAGTGCAAAGAAGGAAATCATCAGGGCACCAGGAAATCATACAGGTGGGAAACTCATTGAATACAGTAAGTCCTCACCTAACATCATTAGGTTCTGCAACTTTAAGCAAAATGACATACACATATCAAAACCAATTTTACCGTAGGCTAATTGAAATAAACAAGAGTTTGTTTCCTACAGCATCTCATTGACCTTATAACCAAACGTTATTCAAGCACCTGCTATAGTTCAAAATGGCCTCACTGAGGTCGTTCTGTACACTGGGTCTTTAAGGATGAGGAGTCACCCAGGCAAAAGAACTAGTACTATAGACAAAAGTCCTAAGACAGGAAAAAATAGTACTTTTAACTTGAAATTGAGTGTTTTATTTCATAGCAACCTAGTGAGGCCAATCACTTTCTAATATGTTAATAACCACTTGTATTTGTAAGATCATATAGTTAGGGGTTATTGCCCTGTATGATTATTTTACACATAAAGGCTATTAACCCATTTATTTCTTTGCCTTTCCTCATACATTAATCTATAATTTTGTTTATGGTATTTGATTAAGAGGTAGTTTTATTTCTTAAGTAAACTTACAGATCTCTTCCTTTGTGATTTTCTTCCATTACTCCTGTTTTCCCTATCCAAATATCAGACACACCTATTTATTATCTATGTCTTATGACATAGATTTTATATTTAATTATTTTATTCATCTGAAATTTACTTTCACACAGGTAAAAATTCCTTTTTTTTTTCTTTTCAAATATTTGCATTCCAAAAGAGCTAAATAAGTGCTCCAGAATCACCAAGTACTATGTGTGACCTCAGGTTTCCTCACTTGTAAACAGGAATAGTAACTATGTCAGGGAAATGATTAAATGGAATAATGCATATAAATGTTCAGCAAGAGGCCAACAAGTGGTAGCTCTTAATAATGATTTTAATAATCTAACCTACTGATAATGAGACTCTCTTGATCATATCAAATTGTTATATATTCTAACATCTGGGTTGTCTGCTATAGTATATCCATCAGTTTTATAATTTTTGTGTCAGTACCATGCATCTGGTACAACTAGCTAGACTATCCCCCATTAATCTTTCAAAACCATTTTACCTAATTTCCTGTTTATTTGTCCAGATGAAGTATACTAAAAACAGTGGTTCTCAATCTTCGCTGAACACTGGGACCACAGGGAAGCATTAGCCTTCAGTGTACCAGAAAAAAAATAATCATCCCAATTTACTATCTGGACCCAAAATACCCTTTTTATTTTTAATAATTAAACTGTTTTATGACAAATTTATACAAATAAAACAAACAGTAAAAAAATAACTTTAAAAGCAATCCAAATATAAAAATTTAAACACAGCCAAGTATCTTCTTCTATATTTCTTTGGTATTGAAGGTATATTTACCCAAAACAGCAGCACCCTTTGAATGCAACAAACTGCTCACAAGCTCTCACGCATGAATCTGTAATACAACTGACCCCTGAAC